AGGAGGCCTGTTAAACATCGTAGTTCATCACTAATGTAGTCCAACAATTGTTTGGTTTCAAGTTTCGAAGGGTGAATGAACGCCGTTGACAGTGATGGCGTGGCCAACGTCGTTCTCAAAGAAATATGGACCGATGACATCACCAGCCCAAAATCCACACAAAACAGTGACTTTTTCGGGAGACATTGGGTCAGCTGAATTTCGTACGGGTGTAGGCCCAAGTCACGACGCAAAATTCGCCAGGTTGTAGTATGCGAAAGGCCCAGTTCTGGGCCCATCGTCCAGCGGCGATGTTTTCGGTAAATCTTGCGGTTCGTCGACGTACGGGTGTTGATTGATCGTTTACTGAAGCAGTGGACCCGAATTTATCCACCACATCCTACCTCTCGGTAGGGCGATTATAGCCTCCGTTTTATTATTTTATGCTCTATCCGTTCATTATGATTTGGCAAAACAGACTGAATAAATGACAACTAATTTGACAGAGGTAGCTTCCACAAGATGGCTGTTATCAATTGTCAAAGTTCGGAAGTTCGGAACTGGGAAGATATTCACACTACAATGTATCTGAATAATTCAGTTAGTACATAGTGGTATTATTTCTCATTTCTATACTTTGATTAAGATTATACTTGATGTGTACCTCAGTTTATTGCTTACAATTTGAAAATTAAACTTCATTTGAAAAGTGGATTTTTTGTAAGGTTCGCATTGGTCTATCAATACGAGATGGGACATTCCGTTTATGTGCCGGCAAATGTAAATGCAGCAGTATCTCATACGCACCAATACTAATCGTAGAAAATGTATATCTCAGGCATTAAAAATGTCCCCCATTCGAATTCAGTATTGTCACACGTGGTCTTAGGAAAGTGAAAGCTTATTTAGATGATATAATAATTCGCCAAACAATTGAATAAGAATGCATGACAAATCTTCGTGCTTGCTTATGTCTCATCGCTGAACATGATGTCACGGAGAAAACTCAGTATCTTGGTCATATCTATGAACAGAGCAAAATAGGCTGCGCTGTTTTACTCATACCATCCAATTTCGAGACACTTGCAGCGTTTTAGGATATTGTTAAGGGTTATTTTAGAAAATGGATTTACCATGGACCATCAAAACTTATATGATCAAAGAACTGACGGTGTCTTATCTTTTAATGCGTCACGCGCACATATTCAATACCAGTAATTATTTCAGTGTAATTATAAATTATGTTCTACGGTTCTATGATATGTAAAATTCGAAATATAGGAAAGTGATACCAGATCTCAAACTGAGCAATGAAAGGGAACTTTGGTTTTGTGGTGAAAATGAAACGACCAAAAGCTATCAACAGACTGGTCAGAGAGCAAGGACATGCTTATTCAACTTATGCAACTATTCAACAACATTGAAGATCTTGAATCATCAAAGAGCCTTATCTTCGCTTTCCTCAGGTCGAGTGGGCTGAGTGGCAGGGCATGATGAGGTTCCTGACACAAGGTGCAGCACCTGCCGCGAGACGCTTGAGACCCAGCATGTCCAGCATTTGCGGTCTCGGCCTATATTTATGGACATAACGCGACCCTAAAAGTGCTTCATTACTATACACTTTTCTGGTATACACGAGACACCGGTATTGCCCTACGCTCCGGGTGATATTGAATCCGTTGTAGGGATTTTTCAGATCTTTTCGAAACGAATATTGTCTGAAAAGAGGAGGAAAAACGGATTAAATATCGAGGATTTTTCGTCAAATTCCACAGACTCTATCCACACCACTCTGTCAAATTGGTTGTTCTGATTATTCGCTTGCCGGCTTGCCGCAATTAGACAGAAATGCAGAAGTCTGTCATTCTTGGCTCACTGCGCTTGCTTAGGGTGCATGATTCTCGGATTCAATGATCACTTGCCCCACGATGTGGGTAGTGGTCAATGGTTGAATGACCACAAAGAGAAATTATATTGTTTGGAATTTCATTCGCAATATTAATAATAGGAAAGTGATACCAGATCTCAAACTGAGCAATGAAAGGGAACTTTGGTTTTGTGGTGAAAATGAAACGACCAAAAGCTATCAACAGACTGATCAGAGAGCAAGGACATGCACCGCAGCCTTCACTTCCGAATCTAGTGAGAGGACCGATTCACGTCAGAGCAATTCACCAAGTAATAAGGGATTAAAAACAGAATATGTAGACAAAATAAACACATGCCACTGGATGACACTGAACTACACTTACATCACACTTTATTATCTGATATCCAGAGTTGTAGCATAATGTGAAATTTCAATTTACTTCCAGGCAGAGGTTAATGCAATATTGCATTCCTATATAAATTACTGGCTGTAGACAAAATAAAGGACAGAAACAGTTCATAATTTCTTTTACGAATAATAATAATAATAGTGAAGTTTTTGACACTGAACGAGGTGATCACAACTCTATCACCAAGTTGGAACCCGTCCAGCAGAAGACCCATACGTAAGCCACAGACATCCCTTCACTCCTGCGTCAACACAAACTAATGCATGCGGTCTTCTTCAACAACATTGAAGATCTTGAATCATCAAAGCGCCTTATCTTCGCTTTCCTCAGGTTGAGTGAGCTGAAGTCGGAAACTGAGGGGTTCATCATGGTTCAGGATGGTGTCTTCAACACCTTAGGCTACCGCAGTCGCATGATGGCTATATAGGTTCCTGACACAAGGTGCAGCACCTGCCGCGAGGCGCTTGAGACCCAGCATGTCCAGCATTTGCGGTCTCAGCCCATATTTATGGACATAACGCGACCCTAAAAGTGCTTTATTACTGTCTAAGACACTTTTACGGTATAGACGAGACACCAGTATTGCCCTACGCTCCGGGTGATATTGAATCCGTTGTAGGGATTTTTCAGCTCTTCTCGAAACGAATATTGTCTGAAAAGAGGAGGAAAAACGGATTAAATATCGAGGTTTTTTCGTCAAACTCCACAGACTCTATCCAGATCACTCTGTCATGATAGTTGTTCTGATTACTGGCTTGCCGGCTTGCCGCAATTAGACAGAAATCTTAGCCGGACGAATGCAGAAGTCTGTCATTCTTGGCTCACTGCGCTTGCTTAGGGTGCATGATTCTCGGATCCAATGATCACTTGCCCCACGATGTGGGTAGTGGTCAATGGTTGAATGACCACAAAGAGAAACTATTGTTTGGAGTTTCATTCGCAATGTTAATTCCCACAGATCACTGTGGAATGTAACATTTGGAATATGAAAAGTAGATAATATTGACGATGAAAATTCAGTAGTTTGTTACATAATTATGGTGGAGGTATTTAGTTATGTTACACTTTTGATATACCTACATCAAACAGTTCCAAAAATTGGCGAACTATCAAAAAACATGTTCAGGGTGAAAATAGAAAAGTGAAAGTATTCACATTTTTTCATATATTTCATTACAGTATTAATGCAGTAATTATAATCAATCTCTCTATATTTATATATTTCGAATGTATGATGAGTTACTGTTTCATGCACAATATGAAATATCACCATGAAAGGCATGTTCATAGATTCATTTGTGTCCGTAATTTCAGGATCATTAGTCTGCATCTATTTTCTAATAGTTTGTGTTCAACAAACATCCTTTGAAGAAGTCTTCAAGTGGTATCTTCGAATATACTTATCTATACGTGATTCCAATATAACCAATGTACAGAACATTTCAGCAGAGATGTTAGAAAATACCTGAATGTGCAATGTAAGAATTGACGGATAAGTTATGGTGCGCCTGTTTCTTCCCTAAATGATCAGCTATTCTTACATCTCATGAGTTTTGTCTCTGAAAGCGATGAAATCTCTAATTCAAATTATTTTACAGAAAAAATATCTCATTGTTATAGGTCAAACAATTATAGAAATAATATCAACCCCAAACGTGTTCTATAACTCTTTACTTATAACTGAATAATAGGTACGAGCAAAACCAAAACACTGTCTTTGTTATTTGAAAGGTTTAAACTTGATTCTACTGGATAATATTTTTAATTTTTGGATTCGAATACTTTTCAGAAATAATTTGGAATCACGAAGTAACGAAAGAATATTTATATGATGGTTTGACATTAGTTTTAAGAAACAACTTGCAGACAATTCACAAAACTTTTCTTTGCAGTCCACACCCTCTATTTGCATGAGGCTAGTGTCCCCAGAGTACTGGACCATAAAGATATGGAACATAAAAAGTGAATGATAAGTAGTGATAATGGTTTCAATAGATGAAATGTCCATAAGACATTACATAACTTGAATTTATTCAGAAAGATTTAGTGAGAATTTCAGACAATATCACTTGTAACATTTTTGTATAGTAATAGCCGTTTGATATTCTATTCCAGTTTCCGAGATACCTAAATATAATGAAATGAATATGTGTAATATCCTCTTTTAGACTCAGAACTACTCAAAGATTTTTTGTTTCACATTATTTGACAATTTATAAATACCATTTTTCTACAAGTAAGTTTTCCATTTACATTGTATAATTTCCCATTAACATTATCGGAAATCATCAATCATTATCATTATCAAATTATTATTTTTACAATTGTTGCTATATTGTTTTAAAGGAGTGAAACACTCATCAATCAACAGAAAATATCAATGCTCATTCAATCAAATAAAAATATATGATACTATAGAACTTTTTTCTTGGTATAAAGAAGAGTAGATTTCTTTAATGTATGTTTCAAAATCAAGTACAAATAAAACTCTCGTATCATGTTCCTAAACAGGCAATAGACATTCAAAACTGCGCAACCTATTGAAATAATCTCTCGAGGTTTCACGTTATTTCGGTTATGCTTTTGTGTATCTTTTGCCTTCCTCATTCATATTCATAGAATAGATGTAGACTTTCTCTGAACGTCAAAAAATACGGATTTCAATAGGAGTCTTTTTTATAATGTCCTGTACACCAGTCATTTCTGGCGAAAACTAACGAAAACACGTGACAGGGTACTCACCACAAGCAGCAAAAGAAAGGACAGCAACCACAAACGATCTCATGGTGACTGCCTTTATCCTTGGTAACTAAAGTTAAATAAACTGCAGATCTTGGACACTTAACACTTTCTAGACTCGCCGTTGAACGACAGGCGACCTATGAATGGATTAACTCGATTCTTGTTCGTACGCTCAGCTGCTATAACCATAAACCATACAGGGTGATTAAGTGAATGGACTTACATGCCGATTTCCGGAGGGTATTGTTCTTGTAATCCGTAACAAAGAGATAGTTTCGCTAGTGTTAAAAAGTAGGTGGGGTTGACCTTTCCTCGAGGTGTCGTAAGAGGATTTCTTGCTGAGGTGACCGGTAAAAATATCTGCGTTCTGATAGTTTTTTCAATTTTTAGAATTTTCATGCATGAAAGCGATTACAGGTGTTGATGTTTTCAGTTTCTCATTACTCATTATTAGAGAATTATTATAACTCGGTTTATTTTTCGACACTGAACAAGGTGATCACAACTCTGTCACCGAGTTGGAACCCATTCCACAGGGATAAGCCCATGCCACAGGGATAAGCCAATGCATGGGGTCTTCTTCAACAATATTGAAGACCTCGGCTTGCCAAAGCGCCTGACGTTCGCTTTTCTCAGGTCGAGTGGGCTCAAGCCGGAAACTGAGGGGTTCATCATGGCCTGCCAGAATGGTGTCATCAACATCTTAGTTTGCCGCAGTCGCGCGTGATGGGTATAGAGGTTTCTGACACAAGGTGCAGGGTGTGCCGCAAGGCGTCTGATACACTGATGCACTTGCTGTCAGCATGTCCAGCTTATGCGGTCTATATCCATCAACATAACGTGGCCCTGAAAGTGCTGTATTACTATCTACGACAGTTTTAAGGTCTTGACGTAACACCGGAATTGGCCTACGCTCCAAGGGATATTCTATCCTTTATGAGGCTTATACAAGCTAATTCTGATGTGTTGCTTCTCGACCACCAGAGCTACTGGCGAGACGATTATCGTCCCAAACGAGAATAAAAACAGATATTTTAATTCTATCTCTGTTTTAAATATTTCTACGTTTGAAATTTCGTCTTCTTCATTGATTTGTCTCAATTTATGATAAGTGTACTTAACGTGCTCCACCATTTTTCGTCTATTTTTCTCACTTGATGCCACTCACATTTCTTTTTCTCACTCTTATTCGCTTTTATGATTCAACGGATACCTAATGGTGATTTTTTGCCTTGAAATTGATCTCTATTGTATTGTTCTTCTGTAGGAAGTCACGTACAAGGTACATTCTCACTGAAGCTTTTGTGACGGACACTGTTTATTCAATTTCTTACCTTGGATACCCTTTGATCAATTTTATTAATTGCTGATGAATAAACGTTAGTATTATAACTTCCAGTTATCACTCCATGCGAATTAATTTCGCTCAGTACTGACTTCTTTCCTTTCCCAAACTTCGTTCTTCCACATTCGTTTCATTTCCCTATCAATGTCTGTATAACGTTCAGTCTTTTCTGTTTTGTTTCCAACTTCTGTCTCCTATCTTCATTCGTTTTTGCCTGTAGACATTCATATTTTCTATTGTATCTCCCTAAATTTCCCAATACTTCACTCGAATATACCTTATGCTCTATCGTTGATGAATACACCATACTCTCTTGTACTCTCTTTTGTACTGATCTCACAAATAGTTGTGTAAACGAATACGTCATTTACTTATAGAAACTCAAAATTTTAATGGTGTAATCGGTTTTCCTTATATAAGTTCAAAAGTGCATCTGAAGTTTCAGAAAACGGAATAGTATTCACCAAAAAAATCATTAATTTTTTTTGGATCCTTCAGATCCTACAGCCACCTTTTGTCATGCTAATATATTAATTTTTTCTTCTTTTCCAGCATCCCCTCCTATTTCATTTCGTGTCATGTACGTCACGATCCGAACATTGGAAACAAAGCTATGACTTCGTCATATTATTTGACATCCGCCTTTATCAATACGGCTTAGTGCCCTTTCAGTACATCGCCATATTTGCTTTTTGGACGATCATGATATCCCGATACATCCCAAATATAGAATTTCTCCAAATTACAAATTCCCAAACTGAATGACCATGGCTCTGAAAAGATCCATGAGATAGAGCATAGGATTTTGACACCGAAGTAGTGCTGTCTATATTTACTATTAATTTGAATATCAACAATATCAGAAATAGCAGAAATTTCTTTCATGTAGTTGCTTAAGGATCAGTATTGGTAGATATATTTAATAATTTTGACATATTGTTATCAATTGCACTTATTTCTTTGTTAAAGTTAAAAGTTTCAATTAGTCCATTTGCACACGATACTACTATTGATTATTCATCAAAATTGAAGTTATTCATGATTTATTCAAAATTACTTTATAGTTAGTTTCATAGGTAGAATTGGAACCTAACAAAGAGGACAGTGTAACAAATCAGAATTTTAAGTGGAATATTCCAGAAGTCATAAGCATGTTCAAGAATAATTCTTAAACCTCAAAGTATGACTGACCATTATACGTACCGGTATTTTCAACTACTGTACTGCTTTTGGCAAAGGAGTCTATCATTCTGGAAAATACTATACAGGGTGTTTATTAAACATGCGGTAACAAATCAAGGGTTTATTCCTTGGACTATTCTGAGGATATATTGTCCTTTTATGATTTTTGATAGGGCGCTTTGTTTCGAAGATACGGGGGTCGACAATAACAATTATGGTAATTTTAAAATTATTAACGTAGCCGAAATGTAGTGTATAGACTACACTAGATCTACCAAGTAATAAAAAATCTAACAATTCCGTTGCTGCCTATCAACAACGTTCCAATCACTACAAACGGCTGCAAGACATTCAATTTGCTGGGTGTAACGCAATCAGAAATGATCGTGGTGTTTTTGAAAGATTTCGAGAATCGATGAGGAGAATAGTGGATTCTTGCATCCGAGCAGGGGGTAGTCATTTTCAACAGTTCTTGTAGATTAAGAAACATTACATGTAATTTTTGGTAATAAATTGTTATTGTCGAAATTCTTTTTAGCTCCGTATCTTCGAAACAAAGCGCCCTATAAGAAATCATCAAAGGACAAAATATCCTTAGAGTACCAAGGAATAGTCCCTTGATTTTTTTCCGCATGTTCAATAAAAACCCTGTATAAGTGAAACAACAGGATGGGTTACGATACTTTTGGAATATTGTTTGTTTGAAATGTAATATTTCGAAATTGTTGTCAGCTTTAAAGTTATTTAATTAGTTCTGATTGTTGTCAAGTCAAATCATGTTTTCACAATTGTGAAAACATTTAATTAGACAAGATCAAAATTACCGGAAACAGAACTGGACCTAAACTGTTCATTCAGATATATCCAAAACATACTTTGGTTTCCTCTCTATTTCAGAAAATGTTCAGTCGTACATGTCTTTGAATTCAAAAGTTAGGATAGCAGGGCGTCGTATAATACGGTATCGAAAGCCTTGTCTAGATCTCAGAATACATCTTAATGATTTATTCAAAACTTTTACATTCTATAACATAAAGTTTTGAAGAAAATTTAATGAATTGGAATTGTTGAAAAATTCTAATTGTCATTTTTCAGGACACTATGTTCGTTAACATATTCAGTTAGTACACGAAGGTATTGATTGTATTTTTGCAATAAGTTCATGTTTCCTCAAATCTTTCTATCAAGTTATCGATCATTTTTGTGTTTGGCTCTCTATCTTCTTGAAAGAACGTTCCCTGCATGTGGCCGTCGATGAATATCTTTCGAATACTTTTACCATCAACGCCGGTGTTCTCTAGAGATCCATATTGTCTCCAGCCCTATTTTATTGTATATCAACAACTTATTGGAAAAAAAACAAGAATTCAATATATTGCTTTGCTGATGACAGCACACTTGCCTTCTCATTCCATCTGGATTTCAGGACATCGGCTGCGGATGCACATCTTCACCGGCAGCAGGAGGTTGCATATCTCGATGAGCATCTGGGGTGGAAGTAATCAGATTCAGGTCAATGGCATGAAAACCCAGGCATCGATTTTATCCAAAAAGATAAATATCCCCGAATCGGATATAATAGTGTCAGAACATACAATTTCGCTTTCTGCTTCAATACGTTTGTTGGGGGGTTAAGATAGACACCACCACCACGTCGCTGGAATTGCAAAGGCTGCTTCTCAAAGGCTTGGAACACTGTTCCGAACCAGAAAACTGTACACACCTCAGAAATTTTTGATGCTTCGCAAAGCTCAGATAAGACCTTCTTTAGAGTATTATTATCATGTATGGAGCTTCAGCCCTAACCTGAAGCTGCTGGATTCCATCCAGAAATGAGCCATCCCCTGATTGGAGACGCGCACATCACTTGCAACCTTCATAGTCTGAAGCATCGAAGAAAGGTTGGAGATTTGTCACTCTTTTATAGATACTTTCACGGGACTTGGCACATTCGATTCCACCAAGAGCAGTACATATCAGAAATACGCGACGGACTGTGACTGCTCATCGTTTTGAGGTTCAACTCAGTACACCTGGAACTTCACTGTATAAGAATTCTTTCATTTGGAGAACTGCATTTATGTGAATTAAATTTACTGAGAATGTTTTTCCAAATGAATCTCCAGGTATTCAAATCCAGTGTGAATCGCTACTTAGAGCGCCTTAAAGAATTTCTTGTAGTGCTAGTGTTTTGTCCTTAAAAAAAAAGTTGTGGGAATGTTAACTTTGTTGTCTCTCATGCAAATGTTGAATTAATTTTTTATTATTATTATGGTCAAGGCCAATGGATCAGATGATTACGTCTCTTTTCCGATACAAATCATAGCTACATTCAAAAACGAATTGACCAAATATTTTTTTGACCTGTTGATCCGAATTGCAATGTATAACGTTCCAATTGGCAATAGTGTAATTATAGTGAGCCAAAAAACATATTGTTTTTCTACTTTCACTGTTCCCAATAATTAAAATAGTGTCATTACATAATATCTACATTTAATAAAATGAAGTTTATTGACAAGTATTTATAAAGCAGTTTAGAATGTATTTCACGCATTCACCTGGTCTCAGTCATTCCAAACGTTTCTTAGTTCTTATTAGAGACAAAGGATACGTGACTGACCAACAAACAGATAATTACT